ATAGAACAATTGACCCAAAAGCAGCAGGATACACATTCTTCTCAAGTGCACACAGAACATTTTCCAGAATAGTTCTAGGCCACAAAAAGGGTCTCAGTAAATTAAAAAGGATTGAAATTGTGCAACAAGCTTCTCAGACCACAAAGGTATGAAACTAGAAATGAATTATGCAAAGAAAACAAAAAGGCCACAAACACAGGAGGCTTAACAACATGCCCCTAAATAATCAATGGATCAATGACCAAATAAAAACAGAGATCAAGCAATATATGGAGATAAATGGAAACAACAACACAACACCCAAAACCTGTGGGACGTAGCGAAGGAAGCTGTAAAACAGGCTTACCTCAGGAAAGAAGAACAATCCTATATGAACAGTCTAAATTACTGAAACTAGGAAAAGAACAACATATGTGGCTCAAAGGAAGTAGAAGGAGGGACAAAATAAATATCAGAGCAGAAATAAATAAAATGAAGAAGAAACAAACAATAGGAAGAATCAATGAACCCAGGAGAGGTTCTTCAAGAAAACAAACAAAATAGATAAACCCCTAGGCAGACTTATCAAGAAAAAAAGAGAGTCTACACACAAAAGCAGAATCAGAAATGAGAAAGGAAAAATCACTACAGATACTACAGAAATACAAAGAATTACTAGACAATACAATGAAAACGTACATGCTAGTGAATTGGATAACTCAGAAGAGATGAACAACTTTCTAGAAAAATACAACCTTCCAAAGCTGACCTAGGAAGAAACAGAAAATCTTAACAGACCAATTACCAGCAATGAAATTGAATTGGTAATCACAAAACTACCTAAAAACCAAATCCCTGGACCAGATGGCTTCACCACTGAATTTTATCAAACATTTAGAGAAGACCTAATACCCATCCTCCTTAAAGTTTTCCAAAAAGCAGAAGAGGAGGGAAACTTCAAAACTCATTCTATGAGGACAGCATCACTCTAATACCAAAACCACTCAAAGACACCACAGAAAAAAAAAATTACAGACCAATATTCCTGATGAACATAGATGAAAAAACACTCAACAAAATATTAGCAAACCATATTCAAAAATACATCAAAAGATCATCCATCATGATCAAGTAGGATTCATCCCAGTGATGCAAGGATGGTACATCATTTGAAAATCCATCAACATCATACACTACATCAACTAAAAGAAGAAGAAAAACCACATGATCATCTCCATAGATGCTGAAAAGGCATTCGACAAAATTCAACATCAATTCCTGATAAAAACTCTCAACAAAATGAGTATAGAGGGCAAGTACCTCAACGTAATAAAGGCCATATATGACAAACCCACAGCCAACATCAGACTTAACAGCAAAAAGCTGAAAGCTTTTCCTCTAAGATCGGGAACAAGACAAGGATGCCCACTCTCCCCACTTTATTCAACATGGTACTAGAGGTCCTAGCCATGGTAATCAGACAACACAAAGTAATAAAAGGCATCCAGACTGGCAAGCATCCAGATTGATAAGGAAGAAGTTAAGCACTACAGATGACATGATATTGTACATAAAAAACCCTAAAGAATCCACCCCAAAACTACTAGAACTAATAACTGAATTCAGCAAAGTTGCAGGATACAAAATTAATACACAGAACTCTCCTGCATTCCTATATACCAATGATGAACTAGCAGAAAGAGATATCAGGACAACTCCATTTACAATTGCATCAAAAAGAATAAAATATCTAGGAATAAACATAACCAGGTATGTGAAAGACCTGTATTCTGAAAACTATAAGACACTCATGAGAGAAATTAAAGAAGACACCAGTAAATGGAAATACATCACATGCTCATGGATAGAAAGAATTAATATTGTCAATACAGCCAATGAAACTGAATTGGTAATCAAAGTACAATCTTGCCTAAAGCAATCTACAGATTCAATGCAATCCCTATCAAAACACCAACAGCATTCTTCAGCAAACTAGAACAAATACTTCTAAAATTCATATGGAACCACAAAAGACCCCCAATTTCCAAAGCAATCCTGAGAAGGAAAAACAAAGCTGGGGAGCTTATGCTCCCCAACTTCAAGCTCACTACAAAGCCACAGTAATCAAAAAAATTTGGTACTGCCACAAGAACAGACCCATAGATTAATGGAACAGAACAGACAGCCCATATATAAACCTACATACATATAGCCAATTAATATACAATAAAAGAGCCATGGACATACAATGGGGAAATGATAGCCTCTTCAACAACTTGTGTTGGCAAAACTGGACAGCTACATGTAAGAGAATGAAACTGGATTATTATCTAACTCCATATACAAAAGTAAACTCAAAATGGATTGAACACCTGAATGTAAGCAACCCAAGTGTCTATCAGTAGATGAATGGAAATGAAGATGTGGTACATATCCACAATGGCATATTCAGCCCTTAGAAGAAAATAAATCCTACTATTTTTCAACTGTATGTGTATTTCAAATTTTGAAAATAAAATAATTTGATTATAACAAATGACACAAAAAACTCTGGAGATGTTTCCCACTATATGGAGAATAATCTCCAAATTCCTTAATGTGACACACAGGAAGTTTTACTATCTGAACCTCTTTTATGTTTTAGCCTATATCTTGGCTTTTTTCATTGTAATACTCTAGCCAGAACATGAACATGAACATGAAAACAATGGACAGTATTCAAAATTCAACTTTTCTCTCAAGTCATGCCTATACATATTTTTATTTGTTTCATCACCTGGAAAATTAAAATAATCCTTCTTCATGAGGATGCAGTAAGAACTGATATAACGCAAGCAAAATATTTATACCAAAGCTCATTAACTTTTAGAAATGGCAGAGAGAATAATTTAGACCAATTCTCCCATTGAAGACAACTAGATAAGCTGAAAAAAAAATACAAAATTCAATCTGCTAGAAGGAATCTGAATGTTAACAGTATAGTTAAGAATTTTGGGTCCAAAACTCAGAACACAAAAATTCCCAGAGGTTAAGATTCTGGGAAGATCACAGGGTAGGAAGCACCAGGAACCTGTCTCCCCATCTAGACAACAATTGCACTGGCTGAATCTAGTATAACTATTCTGGGATCTATTTAAGGCTTTCAATTTAAATGGGAAGGCTTGGATAGTAATTGTGGTTAATTTTGGTCAGTTAGAGATCTTAGCACAGTAGCAGCCAACCAACCCTCAATGTTAGCTCCATGGAAGACAGCTGGGTATGTGTTTCTGGAGCATTTTGCACATGCTGGGAAAACCAGGGTGAGCCAAAAGGACCCTGTCCTCCAAAGACATCTGTGCTTTGATCTCTGCTGCTTCTGAGCACAGAGTTGCAAAAAGCCAGTGGCCGGTGGCCATTGTTGTACCTCCTCCGAATGTTGCAAGTCCATGTTCCTCAGGGTGAAGTGACTTTCAGAGAATTGAAACATTGCTCTTTCTTAGCCCCACCTTCATTTTTCTCTTTTCCCCTCTTTTGGAAGCCAGACATTAAAGATCAAGGCAATCAAAAATGTGAAACTGAATAAAGGAAACCTCAATTAAAATGGAGTCAGGAGGCCAGAAAGGGGAGTCTCAAGCCTACCACTCATTGTCAATTGCAGACCCAACAGGAAGAAGCCTATATTTCTTTTATTAAGGTCTTATTGATATACACTCTTACGAAGGTTTCACATAGAAAAACAATGTGGTTACTACATTCATTCATATTATTATGTCCCCCCCAATACCCAACTGCAATCACTGTCCATCAGTGTAGTAAGATGTCACAGTCACTATTTGCCCTCTCTGTGCTACACTGTCTTCCCCATGATCCCACCCACACCATGTGTGCCAATCATAATACCCCCTCAATCCCCTTCTCCCTCCCTCCCCACCCATACTCTCCCACCCCTCCCCTTTGGTAACTGCTAATCCCTTTTTGGAGTCTGTGAGTCTGCCGCTGTTTTGTTCAAGAAGCCTGTATTTTAAGACTCCAGCAGGAGGAAGAAATATTTTCTCCTCCTCTAGCAACAGCCCAGCCAATGAAAGACAGTCACAGCTCAACCACTGAAAAGCCACTACAGTTCAAATTCTCAGTTTCCTCCAATGGACTTTCTGTTTATAACAGTTCCTCCCAACTTCCCCTTTCCTCTAGAGAAGACTTGTCATCAACTTTGTTCTCCACTTGCCTATGTTTTTGCCATAGCTTGTGTGCCCTGAATTGCAATGCTCTGCTATTCCTCAAAAAACCCATTTTGCTGTTAAAATAACGGGCTGTCTTACTTTTAAGGTTAACAAAAGCAACTGCATAGCCAGGGAAAACTTAGGAAGTGACCACACATGCCCAGGGAAAAGTGCATACTAAAAAAGACCTGAGAAGACCCAAAGTTTATACCTCAGGCTGATCCTTGGCACAGAGATGGCCTATATGTCATAAAAATCAACACTAATAAATTTAAAATGGTGAATTTCATGTTATATGAATACTATTGCAATAAAAAGTGAAAGTGAAGTAATAAATTATTTAGGCAAGAATATTCACCAGCAGACCCCATACCAAAGGATACTACCAAAGGATAGTTTTTCAGGCTGATGGAAAATAATCCCATTTGAAATAAAGAACAATGAAAAGGTAAATATGTGGGCAAATCTAAATGAATAAAATAACATACTACATTAAATAATGACAATATTCTTGAGAATCTTATGACTTCTCAAGTTCAAGAAATATTGAATTATTGAATAGGACTGGGTAAGACCTGGAGGGCAAACTTCTCAGAGAAGTCTTGATTGTACAGCTCATGTAAGCCTGGAGATTAGAGGTACCACCTCATTAAATCTCCAGATTAGAGTATGCATGGGAAGTGTAACCCTCTAATACCTATCACTGAAATATAAAAACTTATGTTTAAAAAACCAATGAACTCAGTTTTCAATTTCTATTTAAGTTCTTCAAAAATCTTACCATTGCAGAAAAACACCCAGCACATACAAAGCAACACCTACCCTTTCTCAATCATATCATCCTTTGAAGAAATCAGGTACATAGACTTGCTCTTCCAAGGTTTCTGAATTGCTGTTTTTACTCTAGGTAGCTTCTTGGGAGATTTAGGTTGTGATAAAATAGATTCTTCTTTCTAGAAAGTGGTAAGATTAAAATAAAGTGAAAAATGAACAAGATGAAAAAAGGACACAGAACAAAGCATAGCTCTGTACATGTACCTTCTTTGCTGTTTTGATCACTGGAGGATTTCTTTCCTCACTCTACCTCCTACTATGCCTCCCACTAGAATAAAAATGTTCTCCCCAAACTCCCACTTCTATGGAACCAGCAGGCTGAAACTCCTACAGCTATTTCAGTCTATAAGAAAAGGCCAGGGCCTGTATATCCTTACTCATAACTTTGCAAAATCTTCTTTATTCTGTAACTGAATAGGTTTTAGTGCTCATGTGTGTGATGAAGGTGGCAGGGTAGGGAAAGGAAGCCCGGATACCACTGGTTCATAATGGAAACCTGTATCTTAACAGATGTATTTCCTTCCATTTTAGGACATTTGATTTTCATAGTTATTATTCCCATCTTTAAATGTTCTTTATGGTAAAAGGTAACTATTTAAATCTAAAATATGAGATACTACATGCATGAATTTAAAAAATATAAACACATTAATGTCCAAATGCAGGAGAAAGAAATGATTACCTGAGTATGGGACTTACATAAATGTAAGTATTTTACAATATTTAAAAGTAAGGATTATGAAAATTATGACACACATGGAAAATGCTGATAAGGTGTTAAAAGAAATAATCAGAATACAAAAGTGTAAGTGGATTTACACTAAAAATTCATGACAAGCCTGAGAGAAAATAAGTAAGTTAATAGTTGTCTAGAAGTAGGTGAGATCAGAAATGATTTGTCAATTTGGTGTCCAAATTTACAATAGTATTAGTATTTTAATAATTTGAAAAACAAAGGTAAACTTTTCTTACATGTCAACGTCTATCAGAATGTAACATACATTGCTGGAGATATTTGTGATGTTTTATTATCCAGAACAAACAATACAATCTTACATACAGTCCAGGTGCCTAACAACTACTGATATTTTTCTAGGAATTCCATGAACAGGATTAACTACTTTACATACAACTTCCTAGGGCTCCCATCTGTTTTAGAACTTGAGAACACAGCATGATATTAAGCCATACTCAATAAATAAGTGATACCACAGGGGACTGAGCTTATTGAAAGTGTATCATACAACAGTGGTCAAATTCATAAAAACAGAAAATAGAATGTTGATTACCAAGGGCTGGAGGAGGGGAAATGAGGAGTTGATTTATGGGTATATAGTTTCAAATTTGCAAGATAAAGTTCTAGAGCTCCCTTTCCCAACAATGCAAATATACATGGTTCTTAAAGGGTACAACTGAAAATGGTTAAGACGGTAAGTGTTATGTTATGTGTTGATACTCAGGGAGCCAATGGAAGATAACAGATGAGAAGTCACAGTCATGTTTACACCACTTTTTAACACAAGCCAATCTCTCCCCCACTCTTTAACATTGCTCTCTTTTACAAATTCCTTTCATTAACCACACGGCTTACGTTTTCTTGCCCCTTACCTCGCAGAAGTTGTACAAATGTTGTTTGTAGAAATGTTTACATGTTATCAGATGATGTGCTCCCTACACTACACCTCTAAGATGTCTATTAATTTTGTGACTGGGTCACCAAGTCACATGGGCTAAGGGGGAAGACTAATCAGTGGAGCAGCATACAGAAAGGCCAAAGATACAGAGGAGATCAGGAAAATGTCAACACAGTGATTAAGAAATTATGAGTGCACTAACGTGACACTAACTCAAAGTATGGTCCCCAGGCAGGCGCAAGAGCACCACGGGGGAGGAAGCTTGTTAGATATGCAAATCCTTAGGCTCCACCCCAGATCTGCTGAATCTTGATCTCCAAGCAGAGCCCAAGAATCTGTTTTAATAAGCTCTTCAGGTGACTATTATGTTTGCTGAAGCTTGAGAACCACCAGCCTGTAGCAGTGCTTTGCATACAGATCACCTAGGAATCTTACTAAAATATAGGTTCTCAAATGTGACTGCAATATTCAGGCAGGTTGAAAACCTTAGTTCTGAGCAAACCCCTTGATTTTTACAGAGTGACTCTGACCCATTTCAGATCAATTAAATCAGAATCTCTGAAGATGGGACCCAGGCATCAGTATGTTTTAAAAACTTTCTATGTGATTCTAATATGTATCTAGGGGAAGGAACCACTGACAGAATTATAAAGTCCCTCCAGCTCTAAAGCACGACTTGTTGACTATATGTCTTCCTGCCTTTTAAAATAAGATACCCTGAACATAATCTTTTTTAAAGGGGTTTTGTGTGACTATGGCCAGTAACACTTCATATTTTGTGACACCTTTAAAGGCTACCAAGATTAATAAGGATCTTTACTTTTGAAATCCAAGTCTTATCTAGTTATTGTATCCCTATGCTGAAGTATGTAGGGTTATTTGCTTCTTCTCTGTAAAGTGGTTTAATTTTTCTTCTGTTTTTGGACTGGTTTTTCCTTATCTTTTTGTAGTATTTTATTCTCCAGTGTGAAAATATGCTTACTACTTGTAATTCTGCTGTTGCAACTTCTCATTCATTCATTCAGTTTATACTTATTAAGCAACTACTATGTGCCAGGCACTTTCAGGCACTGGAGATAAACAGTAAACAAAGAAAAGTCCCTTATATTCTAGTAGGAGGTAAAAGAAAATAAACATGAATCACATGGTCATAAGTACAATAAAGCAAAACAAAACAGAGAAGAGGGTTTAGATAGCAATGGAGGGTATGTGTGCTAGCCTACGTGACTGTGCTTATGCAGAAGAGTCAAGGATATCTTCTCTGAATAAGTGATACTTGAGCAGATGCCTGAGGTGAGTAAGGGGCACACCACGTGGATATCTGAAAGAACACTCCAAGTGATTGGAGGAAGAATGCTCTAAGTGAAGGGAAGAGCAAGTGCAACACTCCCAGGTTCTTGTTTGGTGTGTTCAAAGAACAGCAAAGAGGCCAGTGCAGCTGGAGTGGATTAAGTCAGAGAAGAGTGGTAGGAAATGAGGTCAGGAGAGTAGCAGGGGCATGTAAAGACCACAGCTATGTAAAGACTTTGGATTTGATTCTGAGTGAGAGAGGAGGCCTTTAGACTATTCTGAGCAGGTGAATGATGTGATCATTATTAAAGGATCACTTTGGCTGCTTGGTGGAGAACAGATTATAGGTTTTCTTATTTCCTAACTGTTGCAGCATACACCTTAACAACAACAAAAAAATAGAATCTTATGATGAAACTTAAGTATTAGTGTATGAAACCGAAGCATGGATATATTACTATAAACATAAAAAAGAGATCAAAGTATCAATGTACACCCTACCTGCATCTCAGTTATCTGTGGAATGCAAGATTTAGGTCTTAATGGCAAGAGAGTTGCCATTTGTGGAAAAGGGTCAACATCCTTCCTTGGTTTCTCTTGACGGAGGTGCCAGAATCTCAGTTCAGCACTAGCGTATTTTGCTGAAGATGAATGAGTAACACAGAATCTTGGTGCCCTAGTTAAGGGAAAAACAAACTTAAGATTAAACTAAACCATAAGCCTCAAAAATCAAAAGATTACAAAATGTATAATACACGTTATCACAATTATCAGGCTTGCTATACACTTTACCTAAAAATTTCTACTTCTTTTTCTGCTGCCTAGCTTTAGTTTTTTTTCTATGATTTTTCGGTTGTCTGAAATCACATTCACACATACAGAAGTAATATACATTAGGAAAAAAAACTAATAAATTACATTCAAATTATTATCTGCTTGATAAGAAAAAGAAATCTATGTATCTATGAATTAAAAAAAAATAACTTGGGAGTTTCTAGTAAAGGAATATACAATGTGCCTCGAATCATTTAAGGCAGTTCAGTATTTACAACACCAAATAAAACTGGCAGAAGAAATTAACATTTTAAAATATATAAATGTTTTTATAATGCTTAAGTATACTACTAAAGTAGATTGTGATTCATATGATCTATTTTGAAGCCTTAAATTTGAAAGTAAGAATTACTTTTACAACAATTTATATAAATGAAAGACCAACACTACTGCCAGAAACTTAGGAAAAAGAATGTTTGGCACACTATCAAGGCCACACTTAATTGGATGGATATCCTGGTATTTGGTCTGTGGGCTAACTCATTATTAGCTATAGGGTATCTCCAGGTGTCAGGGCCTGTTACTAACTGCTGCTTGGACCAGGTTTTCCCCCTCATGCCACAGCCCAAAGACTAATTCCCACTCTCTATTTCATGTCTTGGTAGAAAACTGCCTACCTTTAAAATACAAAGAAGATAGACATTGCTCTGTGTGAATGCAGACTGGGAGGGGAACAGAATCCAAAGTTCATAATTAGTTTAGGATTAGAAAACACCTTTTGTAGATATGAGTGGTCTTTAAACACTTTATTTCAGACTTGGAAATATCCAAAAATCATCTCTTATTCCCATGTGTGGATAAAGTGAAGGTTCCTATGGCTAGGATTCTCACCTGGCCCTGGTTGGCTAGCTCACTACACATGTATGGGCAATACGTTGCTATTGACTCAATATAAAGAGCTCCACTCAGTGCTCTGGGTGACGTGGCAGGGCTGCACAGCTGCAGGAGAGCAGAGGCTGGAGTGGTGGCAGCACCGAAGACAGAGACTGAGACGGCTGAAGGGGCCCAGAGGCCCAGAATCAGACCAGCTTGCTGCATGCAGACTTGCTCTGAGTGGATGGGATTCTAGTGATTGACCTGCCACCATGGGAATAAAGTTGGGGATAAACCCTTTCACCCCAAAAACGTTCCACTGTCATTCCTCGGTCTCACTGGATCCATAGTGAACTTGCCTGGGGCTGGTAAACCCATTGGCAAGACACCATGGGAACCACTAAGTGGGTTTATCTACAAGATCCTTATCAAATAAATCATACATGTGTTAGCCATGAAACCTAGGTGTCTCAATTTTCTGATTCCCATCAGTACAATGTGTTCATATAATACCAAGTCCTTGCTGCCCCTATCACTTTAATCCTGCATTCTTATTTCATTCATTGCATTGGTTTTTTACTAGCCACTAAGAATTCATCAAATATTGTAGAATAAATTTCAGTCAATCCTAAACTGTGGTGTATTATTTTTCATGCTTCCATCATACAAGTTCTCCTATACACTAATTGTATGTATCTTAATTCTCAAGCTCTAGATAATGGGAGAAGATATTTGCCACATAATACTTCCAAAGGAGCTGTATCCAATATACATGTGTGAATGTACATATTATATGTATATGCGTCTGTCTTGCCAATGGGTTTCAGCCCTGGGCAAGTTCGCTATGGCTTCACTGTAACCAAAGAAATTGACAGCAAAACGTTTTTTGGTTTGGGGTGAATGGGTTATTACCCGGCTTGTTCTCCCGGTCATAGGTCAAGCACTAGTGTCTCTACCTCTGCCCAGAGCACTGGGCCGCGCTCTCTATAGAGTGCAGTAATAGCTTATTGCCTAAAGGTATGAAAGTGGTAGCCTAGCAACAGGCCAGTTACAACATCAGGTGGTTTAAGTTCAGTGAGGATCCTGGCCAAAGGAACCCCAACTTCCCCACAGTGTATATATATATGTGTAAGAGTATGTACATGAGTGTCTCCCAATAGAAAAATGGGCAAAGAAGATAAACAGGTAATTTATAGAAATTAAAATCAAACTGATCAATAAATATTGAAAAGGTTATTAACCTCACTAGTAATCAGGGAAATGCAAATTAAAACCACAAGATACCAATGACACACCAAACACACAGGGAAAAATTTAAGTCTGACAATATTAAATGCTACAATGGTGTCTTGCCTGAGGATTTCAGCCCCAGTCAAAATCACTATGGATTCAGTGAGGCTGAAAGATGACAATGGACCATTCTTGGGGTAAAAGGGTTTATAGCTGGCTTTATTCTCAGGGCAGTAGGTTAAGCACTAAAAGTCATATATGCATCCAGCAGTCTGCAGGTCCATAATCAACCTCTATCTCTGTCTCCACCCAGAGCACTGGTGGAACGCTTTATACAGTGACTCAGTCAATAATAACTCATTGCCAATGGGTGTGGGAGCACTAGCTTAGCAGTAGGGCAATTAAATCATCAAGTAGTTTAGGTCAGGAGAGGATCCTGGCCATAGGAACTTCCAATTTCTCTATGTATGGATTTGTAGCAGTGAGTAATTGCATATTCTGATGGGGGGAATGTAAATCAGTAAAACTACTGTGGAAAAATGGGTATGTGTACAAAAATATATATTACAGCATCACTTACAATTGTAAAAAGTAGAAAACAACACAAATGTTAACAAAAACAGCAAATAAATTATGACACATTCATGCAGTGGAATACTATGTACAGAATGAAAATTAATAAAACTTACATGCAATTACAGACAAATTGCACAAAAATAATGTTGATAGAAGATGCAAAAGAATTCATACAACATGATTCCATTTATCTAAAGGTATAGAACAGGCAGATGAAAGTATATAAGCAGAGATTTATTTGCATATGTGCATAAAGTGACAGTTCCTATGGCCAGGATTCTCACCTGAACCTAAACTACTTGATGATGTAACTGTCCTGCTGCTAGGATACTGCCTACACACCCACAGGCAATAAACTATTATTGACTGAGTCACTATATAAAGAGCTCTGCCCAGTGCTCTGAGTGGAGGCAGAGACAGAGGAGGATTATAGACGTAATTCTAGTGCTCGACCTATCACTGGGAAAACAAGCCAGATAATAAACTCTTTCACTCCAAGAACATTCCATTGTCATTCCTCGGTCTCACTGAATCAATAGTGAAATTCCCTGGGGCTGAAACCCACTGGCAAGACAGCATACATGGTTAGTAAAATTCTAAAGAAGAGGAAAAAGAGGATAATCACAAAAGTCACAATGGTGGTTACCTCTGAGGAGGATGAAGATGTTACCAGAAGGGACCTTCAGGAGTCTTGGCAATGTTCTGTTTTCCCATCCACATAGTAGCTACACAAGTGTCTACTTTGTAATATTCATTAAATTCATTCATAATTTGAAATTCATTCATATTATGAAATATTCATAATATTCATTATGTTTTAGTTTGGAATTTAAAGAATACACAAGGTTTAGCTAGATTAAGAAAAAAGGTAAGAGCATTCTGGGAAAATGGCAATGTCAGCAGTATTCTTTTTCTACCTCTCAGAATCCCTCCATAAAAACAGACAGGACAACTAGATAGCAGATTCATGGGCAGCATTTTCAACAAAATTTTAATGTGACAAGGTATCTCCACCAAAATAAAGTTGGTGGGTACAGACTACTACAGCCATAAGACCTGCTTGGTATTGGTGTGTAGGTGAGAGGAAGTGTCTGAGGGACCTGAGCATGGAAGAGTTCCAGAACAGCCAGGAAAGCACATCAGGCCGATGAAAGGTTAACAGCTGGACTAGAAGGAGGAATTCTCTAACACTGAGTACACACAAAATTCAATCATACTTCTACTTACCAACAATGGTCAAATGGAAAGCTAAACCTGAAAAACACATGAACTATCACATATGCAACAATTTGGATGCATTATGCTTTAATGGTATTATACTGATGAACAGAGGTCGATCTCAAAAGGTTACATATTGTATGATTTCATTTATAGCACATTTTCAAAATGATTTAAGTATAATGACAAAAAACAGATCAGTTGCCAGGGGTTAGGAATGGAAGAGTGTAACAAAAGCATAGCATGAGAGTTTTATGGGGTGACAGAATTGTTTGTATCTTGATTATCACGGTGGTTATATAAATCTATTCAATTCACTTTTTCTACATGTTTAATGTAAAACAGAAAAAATGGAAAGAAAAGGGATGGCCTTTTCAATAAATGAAGATCAGCAGTTGGATATCCCTAAGCAAGAAAAAAAAACCAAAACAACAGAACTCTGACCTTTATAAACCTCACACCGTATATAAAAATTAATTCTAAGTGGACCATAGACTTCAGTATAAAAAACACAAAATAAGGATTTTAGAAAAATCAGGAGAAAATCTTCAGGATCTAGAACTAGGTAAAAAAACTCACAGGTTTGACACCAAAGGCATAATCTATAAACAAAATTGAAAAATTGGACATCACTAACTTTTAAAAATTTCGTTCTGTGAAAGACCCCCCCACTGTTTAATCTTTCAGATGCAATGATATTTGTTCTTAATAATGGCTGGAGGCAACGCATTTGACATAGGAAAGTTTCCAGTAGGTGAATAACTTGGCCCAAGAGCTATTTACTCCTACCCTAATGAAATGTTTCCAGTAAAACTTATCTGGAACCCCTCATTTAAACACAGTCCCCTAATATACCACCCTCCCAGGGAAAATACCACATGTGATTAACATCAGAATTTTTCTTGCAAGTTTTTTCTAGTCATTATGATCATCTGTTGTTTGGTTTGATCTTTTTTTTTTTTTTTTTAGTGAATTACACTCTTTTAATTGAGTATGGTAACACGA